AACAAGAACAAAGCCCTGTGGCAACGTGGTCTTTGGTACACATTGCAGCACCTACCACACTGTTCTGAAATAGTCTCTTTTACATACCCGTCAACTCGAGTATACCATAAGTTCCCTGTGACTTGTTTGCCTCTGTATCCTCCATGAATCTAAGCACTGTGCCTAGAACATCATACTCAACCATTCATTAAAATTTTTTTTATTCCTTTTTTAATGGGGGGACGTGATTAGGTTTATTTATTTATTTAATGGAGGTGCCAGTATTGAGCCCAGGACCTTGTGCATGCTAAGCACAAACTCTACTACTGAGCTGTACCCTCCAACCCTTGACAGCTACATCCTGCCCTTCAAATCACTGCTCTAGTCTCCCTGCCCACCCCCAGCACTGAAGCCCCAGGGGTAAGATGAGGCCACTGTCTTGACACAGTGATGCCGCCTGCTCCAACCTCCCCAGGACTGAGTGCTGTTGGCTGACGGTCTTCGTTGAGGATTGCCCAGCTGCCTCCTCAGCCCAGTGTTGCTCACACACACACCGTGCTCCCTCCCTGGGGACAGCCTGCTCTAATGACTGGTCCACAGAGAGTGATGTCAATGCCTGTTCCCCTCACCCTAACTCAGAACAGCTCTGAAGGGCCAACCCAGCTCCAGAGCTCCTCACAGGGCCAGCTGAGGCTGTCATTAGCTGTCACAGCCCAACCCCTCCCTCGGACCAACCCTGCCTTCTTCCCTTAGATCCCAGGTGTTGCTCCCAAAGGCACCCCAATAAACTTCCTACGTGCGGCCTGCAACAGCCCCCCAGAGGCAGTCCCCAGGCTGGCTTTGTGGCCTGAGTAGGCTCTGGCTTGGCATCTGGGAAGCCTCAATTCCAAGTGATCCCAGGAGCTGTGATGGTCTCAGGGCCCAGTGGCTATGCACAGGCTTCACTCATAGTTATGTTTTTAATCCTTTCTGTCTCTTACTCCCTCTCTAAGTTTTTCTTATGAAATACATTTGGAACCAATAGGGTGGAAGATATCAGCCTGGAAGAAAATAATGAGAGCCATGGGAGAGACACTATAATAGAGAAACAAATGAACCTAATGCTTGGCTGAAGGAAAGCTTCCTAGAGGAGGCACCACTTAAACTGAGTCTTGAAGGGTGAGTTAGGGTTTGATGTGTGGATGAGGGATGTGGGGGAGGCACTCCAGACACAGGGTACAGCATGAGCAAAGGCTGGCAGGCTTGAAAGGGTGTAGGGTGTGGGAGGGAGGGGAGTAAAGGACAGTGAAGTCTGGGACTCTAGCAAGGGAGGACTGGACAGGGACCTATAGGTCACGTTGAGGAACTTGGTGCCAAAGAATACCACGTTCCAGTGCTGCCCAAGTGTCAGCCATTTAGGTACCACTGGGATGACTTTTGCCACATCTGGGCCCTGGTGGTTCTATTTACTTTTTTTAAAAAATCTTGCTTCATTTAAAAAAATTTTTTTCTCATTCTCTATTTTTTAAGCTTTTCTTTTTGGAATGGGTTAATTAGGTTTATTTACTTAAAAGAATTTTTTGGGGGGAGGTAATTAGGTTTGTTTATTGATTGATTGATTGATTGATTGATTGATTAATGGAGATACTGGGGATTGAACCACTATTTACTATTCATTTCATGTTTTTCTCAACCTGAATTTTTTTTTACTTAAATACATGTCTATAAAAAGAAATTTTATATGGCTCCCGAAAACCAAAACAAAAGAGATATCGTTTGCCGTAAAGAAAGTAACTGTAAAAATGGATACAATGGACACAGAACAGAGTAATTAAATTCTACGGAGATATTGCCTGTCATTGTTTTTGAGCCTGAGGCCTGCTCCAGCTCTGTTTGGAAAGAAGATTAGCAAGCATTACAGAGGGGAAAGAATAGCATCACACTGAGACTTTCTCCTTGATGTAGTCAGAAAGCTGAAACGAGAGGGAATCGAGAATCATTTTCTCACCATGTAATTTAATGTTCTTTAAGGCTGTACCATGTGCCATTAAGATCACCTTGGCGTTCCCCTCCCTACCGCTCTGCTGACTGTAAGAGCAGTTGGTAAACAATAAAGTGCCCTACAAATGTGCTTGTTGTTACCAGTTGATTGCTTTGTCCGTTGGCTCTGGGCCAGTTGCTGTGAGGTTGCTGCCCTTTTGTTGGCTCGGGGAAGGTTTCCAAACCAGTACCTGTGGCCACTCGTTTCCCACATTGTGCGAGTGAAGGCAGCAGGGTGAGGGCAGGACCCTGGGCATCCCAGACTCTTGGAACTGGGAGGGCCCTTACAGAGTATCCTGTCTTCCCACTTTACAGCCAGAGGAAACTGGGACCAGAGGAGGGACATGACTTGTCTCAGGCCACAGAGGTGTTAGCGTTAGCGGTCTAGGGGATATAAACAGAAGAAAGAATCGTATAGCTTGTTGTGTGAGACTACTGGTCCCAGTAGCTACTATCTGTGGGGCAGAAGAGAATAGAATGTGGAAGCAGACGTAGGGGGAAGTCAGCCCATCAAGGCCTGAGAACTCAGGGTCACCATCAAAGGACCCTACTTCTTGGGCTGGGCTCCACAGCTCTGGGCAGAGGCTGAGGTGGGCCTGGGGCCTGTGTGGTGGGCAGCATGGAGAGAGCTTGCAAGGGGCTCAAGTGTTTGTGAAAGACACCCAAGGAAATGAGGGAGAGCGGCACACCAGAGCTGCTCCAAAGGGCAGTGCCTACTCAGTCAGGGGTGTCCTGGGACCTGGCAAAACCACCAGGCTTTGGAGTTTGACAGGCCTGGGCTCAATCCTAGTTCTGTCTCTTTCTTTCTTTCTTCCTTCCTTCCTTCTTTTTAAATGTTGGTACTTGAGATTGAACCCAGGACCTTGTGCATGCTAAGCCCGCGCTCTACCACTGTGCTATACCCACCCACCCAGTTCTGTCACTTTTAGCTGTGTCTGACTTTGGGTAAGTCACTGAACTGCTCTGAACCCATCGCCTCATTGGAGATGATGTGGGTAATACTAATACCTACCTCCTAGGATTGCCATGAGACCCACACAAAGCAGTGTATGAAGAGCTTTGTATACAGGGCCCAGCACAATACTTAGCATTCCTCCCTCTCCCCCTCCTATGGCCACATCTAGACCCCCGACAAGACCATTTCTTCTCTCCTGGCTCCCTACCCCACCCTCTCCTGGCTCCCAGCCCACACCTCCTGACCCTGTCATCTGTCCTATTTTTGGGCTCATCTGCTGTCCCACTCATCCAGCTATGGGGTTCATAAGGAGTCTTTCAAGTATTTACAGACAAGAAAGCTGAGGGGGTCTAGTCCAGGGGGTGGAACAGGGACTTCCTTCACCTAGAGACTGAGGGGAGAGTGGGTGCTCTGGGGTGAGTGGCCTGTACCTGCTGCAGGGAAAGGCTGGCCCAGGCCTCAAAGACAACAAAGAAAAGGCGCTGGTCTCCTGTGGCATTAGAAGGCAGTGCCTGAATCAAGTCCCTCCATTAAAAGCTACACGGCAAAAAAAAACAAACAGCTACAAGGCAGAAGGTTAAATATAGCCCTTTCCAGCTGTCTGGGACATAGATTTATGAAATGTCAGAGCTGCATTAAGAGTGAGAAATGATCTTATCTCTGCTCTGTTTTTAGAGAATAGCAAGGAGGCAATCAAGAAGAGAAATAAATCTGGACTTTCACCAATGGGCGGTGGGCAGCCATTGGAGGATTTCTGAGCTGCTGGGGCTATTTTATAAGATTGCACTCTGGCTGCAGAGTGGAGAATGGACTGGAAAGGGCGGGGCAAGAGTAGAAGCAGACGGTCGAGCGGGAGGCAGGGTGAGGGCGATGCCGGACCAGAGAGCTGGGAGGAGGGAGCCCAGTGCAGGATGGGGCCGGACCTGCAGCCCAGATGCCCGAGGTGCCTCCCTCCCTCCTAGGAAGAGGAAAACCAGCTACCACTTGCCCTTGTCTACTCCCTCGCCCTGTGACAGACACCCAGACGCCTCCTTCCTTTGCAAGGCAGCCTGTGGAGGGTCTGTTGGAAAGTTTCTCCTTGTCCACAGGTCCCAGTTCTGCCTCCTAAGCCCCGCTCAGACCCCATCTACACCCTTCACCCTATGATAGCTCCTCAAAGACCTGAAGACCAGAGACCACTTTCCTGTTTCTTCTCCTTGCTAGACAGCACATCATCCTCACAATATTCCGTTCGCAGTTTTTCCAACTCCTTTAGCTCCTAAACTCCTTTTGAGTATACTCCTGCCCCAGAGGACCAGCTCGAACCCCGAGACATAGTATGGCCTCATGATCTGCCCTGCCAGTGCCTTCTGCAGCCGGAACTGGAGCTTCTAGTACATTTTCAAGAGCAGGCAACTGCAGTGTCACCTCCCCCATCGCGGCTCATCCCTTTCACACAAGCCTTGGTGTGGCTCAGGACCCTGAACTTGACTCCACACTCCTGCTAGGAAGTCTGGCTTGAACTGCGTTTAGAATGCACTTGGTCCCTGGGTAGTAACCTGTGTGGACGGATGTCCAGTGATAGGCACCCCTTCCCTGCCCTGTCCCAATACTTTAGTATTGCAAAAAAAAAAATCAACATTTTAGTCAGAGTCCAGGTAAAGCCCCAAGACTGACTGAGACGGTACTTTCCACCATCCAAGTGACAAGGGCTCAGAGAGGATGTTAAGTCAACTTCTAGAAAATAAGATACAGTATTTCTTACATACACACAATTCTCCAGTCACTTTTCTTATCCTTCTAGAATCCCAGATTATCAGGGTTGGGATGTGATCACATCCACCCTTTCCTCCTCCAGAGCCACCCAATTTTGAATTCCTTTTATAGCCCCTCTGCCAAGTGGCTGTCCTGCCCCTCTGAATGGCCGCATGTTTCTAGTTCTAAGGGAACCTGCTTTCCCCTAAGCAGCTCAGGCTGCCAGCCCATGACCCTCCCCCTCAGTGAGCCCCGATGCTTCCCCCATCTCCCCTCTGCTGAGCACGTGACCCTGCTCCCGCCGAAGACTCACCTCCCCGGCTCCAGAAGAGGGTGACAGCCTCAGCTCTCTCCATCCTAGCAGTGTGGATGTCCGAGACGCCACATCCAGCAACTCCTCATGCAAGGGAGAAGCGAGTGGTGGGTCCACACTGGGGGCAGGGAGCCCAGGGGCTCCACGCTGTTCTGAACCCTGTCCCCAGGCTCCTTGGCAGGCACCCAGGGACTGTTCCTGAACCCCGTTTTCCAGCACCCTTGCTGGGTCAGTTTGGCCCCATTGGTCACATGCTCCGTTGCCTGTAAAGTTGTTCCTAGGCGGCCCAGCCCAGGGCAAGTGATACAGGATTCAAAAAGTGAATTTCCTCTCTCTCCTTTTCCACTCCCCACTGCCCTCACTTGCCTGCCCACAGCCACACCGGTCCAGTCCGTCCTGTCACAACGGGCCCTGCCTGTGAGTCGGTCTTGTCTTTCTCAAGGAAAGGTTCTCGGCCAAAAGCCCGAATCTGAGCCCCACAGAGGGCTGACCTCCCACTCGGCTGCTGTCCTGCGGCGAGGGGAAATGAGCAGGAACTGGCTGTCTGAGTCAGCGCCCTTGCTCTATTGTCACTGTGCGGGCCCCTTCCTTCCCAGAGGAGAGCCGTGCAGAGAGATAGGCCTTGTTTTTTGCAAGTCTCTCTTGCACACGCACGCGCGCACACACACACACACTTTCTCTCTTGGCCTGGAACAAGTCTGTGCACTATGGCTGAATGCAGTTCAATTCAGTTCCCCCAAGAGGGATAAGTGAGGAGTTTGGGATTAACAGATATACACTACTGTACATAAAATACATAAACAACAAAGATCTACTGTATAGCACAGGAAATGATATTCAATATCTTGTAATAGACTATAGTGGAAAAGAATCTGAAAAAGGATATATATATATGTATGTATAACTGACTCACTTTGCTGTATAAATGAAACTAACACAACACTGTAAATCAACTATACTTCAATTTAAAAAAATTAGTTTCCCCAAGTCCTTGTGAGTGCCTACTCTGGCAGAGGATCATGCCTACAGCACACAGAGGGTCATCTCCCAGCATCCTAGCCACAGACAGAGGAGCTAATGATGATGAGTCCCAGTAATGGGGAAGGAAGCTGAGAGGGAAAGGGGCTTTTCCAAGGTCCAACAGCCAGAAAACAGAGAGGCTCAGAGTCCGACTTTGCTCTCCATGGCATCAGGTGGAGAACCCTGCTGACCTTCTTCCCTGCTTCTTCCACCTCCACCCTGCCAGCCTTCTAGAATCAGATTTGCAGATTCTAGCAAAGTTTATTTCCGAGGGCACAAAGCATGAGAGAATTGCTGGCTTTAAAACTTTGAAAACCTATCTCATTCAAATTTGTTTCTGTGCGTTTAGAAAGACAAGGGCCTGGGAAACAAGCAGTGTGTGCCAGAAGCTTGTTACGGAGGGACTTCATGATCGCACTGGCAAAAAGCACAGGTAGATGGCCCACGCCTTGTCCCAGTAACTGTCTTCTGATTGTTAGAGAGACATCACAAGTTCTTGCTCATAGAGTGAAAAGACCTAACTGGAGCTGTGTTCTCTTTCCCATTTTTTTTGCCAGAGGTGCAGAGGTACAGGAAAGCAACTTGAGGGAAGGAGCTGGGGACCTCCCCTGGAGGAACCACCTGGTCACCTGGAGGATGCTAAGCACCTCCTGTACCGACAAGACTCTCAACTCCTCCAGGGCAGGAGCTGGGCTGTGGGTCTCTGGAGGCCCCACCCTCAAAATAAATTTGTGTGGCTTGGAACAAAAAGCCATCTAAAAAGACTGACATGAAATTTCCAGACAAGGAGAATGCCTCGTGCCTCGAAGTCTGGGAGAGGGTTAGCTTCTAGGAGCAAGGATCCATGGACATCATCCATTGCATTCAAGAACTTAAGTAGGCTGAGGCCCAAACAGTGAATGTGCGCTGTGCAACACCGAGAGGGTGGCCTCGGCAAGGCTGGCTTCCAGAGGCCCGACTGCAGCAGGTTAAGGACGGAAATAGGAGGGGAAGGGAGACAACTCTCAGGAAGTCTGGCTGTGGTTAGAGAGGAAAGAAAGAGGGCCACAGCTGGAGGGAGAGGCAGAACTATGTATGGCTGGTAGTTAGATGTTTGTCAGGATGGGAGAGATGTTGTGTGGGTTTTTTTTTCCTTTTCTTTTTCCTTTAATTTTAAATTTTTATACAATTTTAAAGGTTACTTTCCATTTACAATTATTACAAAATATTGGCTATATTCCCTGTGCTGTACAATACATCCTTTTTTTTTTTTTGCGCTTGTTGGGGGAGGTAATTAGGTTTATTTATTTATTTATTTTCTAGTGGAAGTACTGAGGATTGAACCCAGGACCTCATGCATGCTAGGCATGCATGCTACCACTGAGCCATTACCCTCCCTCCTACATCTTTTTTTTTAAATTGAGGTATAGTTGATTTACAATGTTCTGTTAGTTTCAGGTGTATGGGAAAGTGATTCAGTTATTTATATATGTGTGTGTGTGTATGTTCTTTTTCAGATTCTCTTCCATTATAGGTTATTACAAGATATTGAGTACAGTTCCCTGGATGCTGTGTTGTTTTCTTTTTTAGGGGTGGGTAAGTTTATTTATTTATTTAAAAAAATTTAAATGGTGGTACTGAGGATTGAATCCAGGACCCTGTGCATGCTAAGCTTGCACTCTACCACTGAGCTATACCCTTCCCCTGGATGCTGTTTTTAAGTTGAGGAGTTTCCACCAAAATTGCTGCTCACCCTACCCTCTACAGCCCCTGTGGGCTGGACTTCATCCCAGACCAATTAAACCAGAATTTCTCAGGGGTGGAGCCCAGGCACTGATAGTGTTTTAAATCTCCCCAGGTTAGAACCCTTGCAATAGTTCTTGGTAGAGACTGAAGTCCAGTCTTAGCCCAACTGGTGGGTGGAAGGCAAAGGCAGTCTGACTGTCTTAGCTCCCTCATGTTGGTAGCTTAGAGTAGTGAACGGATTCGGGAGCTCTGTTGCCTAGACTCGAATCCCAGTCTCACTGGTGTGACCTTGGGCAAGTTACTCAACCTCTCTGAGTCCCAGTTTCCAATCTATAGATTAGCTATATAATTTAGTTTCTAAACTGTATATCTACCCTTTAGAAGATAATAAAGGTACTTATACCGTCAGGTTGTTGTGTGGATCCAATGAATTAATATCTGCAAAGTGCTCAGAATGCTGCCTAGTTTGGTAGAAGCTATGCTGGGGCTGGCCTGTGTCTTCTATTATCTCTCCCGGACATCCACCTAAGGCTCAGGAGGGCCTCCATTCAAAAAGTCAGTGGTTCTGCCTTTGGTCTGGTCTCTCATCGGCTCTCATCCCTGGCCTGCCACACACAGGCTGGATTCTGTCATCCTCCCTACCCCCGGCAGCCACTTTTTACCAGGCTCCTGTTGGCTGGCACTGGCTGCTGCTGCCGTGATGGGAGCTGCCACCGCACATGACCAGAGCCATGCCATTTGGGTTGGGAACACTCCACTATTACAGTCTCTGCCGATATTTGTCTTTTGTTCCCCCCAACTCAAGTTATTGAGTTCTTTTGGCTGGAGTCAGGGCAAACAGTGGCCCCTGGTTGGGGAAATGATTGGTGTGTGTCAGTTTCCACACCACGCACTTCATTTGGCGGCAGTGGGGGAAGGGGTTGGAGTGCGACCTTCAGCTCTCTTAATCAAGACCCTGGCTTGGGTGGCCACCAAAAGAGATCGTCACCTTTCTGCTTTTGGTCTTTACCCTGAGCAGACAGCTCTTATCCCCAAGCCAGGCCCCAAAGCACCCAGAGAATAGGAAGGAGCTGGTGAGGGAACTGAAGGTTGGGGTAGATGTCCAGGAAGTCTGTCATGGTGCAGAGGCAGGGGTAGTCAAGAGTCTGGGAAAGGAGACAGTGGAAGCATCAGTGTCCAGCAATGAAAGCAAGGGCCGAAGCGTGAGGAGCTAAGCCACAGAAGTCAGAAATCCCAGAAGCCAGGCCCCCACAACCAAGTCCCCAAAACAGGAGCAAGGTCCCAGGCTGCTGGGTAGGTGAGAATATGTCAAAGGAACAATGTGCTAGACTTGGCACGTGCCTTTTATCTCCATGTGTGGCATGGGAGTGGGGCACAGCTTCTCCGAGGCAAGCCTAAAGGGCCTAACCAGCAACCCTACCCCCCAGCCCTGACCTCCAGGTCTACAAATTCCACCAAAGAAACTCACAGAGGTGGCTCGGTGCCACCATCCCCAATGCCAGAAATCAGACTCAGAGAAGACACTCCACCTGGATGGCAGGGAGCAATTGGGAGCCTCATCCGGCTTCTAGGACCCTTCACCCCTCCATCTGTGCTTTTTGAGAATCTGACAGGAGATTGACTTTTTAAAATAGAAAATCTGCTGCTGAGAGACATGAAGGTTTCATCAAAGACCATTTACTCCACAGGGATGCAGATGGCAGTTAAGAGGCCATGGGAGCCCAGATTCTTTGAAGTCCTGTCGGTGGGTGACACAGGGCTGACCTGTCAGCGTGCAGGACCCTCTACCAGGGACCTCTTTCCTTGTCATCTCAAGCATCGTTTTTGCTTCTTCTCCATGTCAGAGCCTTGCCTGGTTTCTCCCAGCTTGATAATGGTCATATGGCCATAGCCACATGGCACAGGGTGTCCCCACCACGATGATGAGGACATCCTAGAGGATATGAGGACAACCCTGGGGCAGTGGTGACAGCAGCGTAGGGGCAAGGGGAGAGCAGCTGGACTGTGACGGGGTAACCGTGGGCACATCTCCTCTCTTCTGTGGGTCTATAAAGTGAAAGGTTTGTGGGAGATGAGTGGTTTCCAAGAGCCACATCTAACCTTTATTAAAATACCTGGGCCAGGTGGGGAGGGTATAGCTCAGTGGTAGAGTGCATACTTAGCATGCACGAGGTCCTGGGTTCAATCCCCATTACCTCCTTTAAACAAACAAACAAACTTAACTACCTCCCTCCCAGCCCCCAGAGAAAATAACCTGGGTTCCATCATGATAGACAAATATTCTACTTCTCCCAAGGAAGACTTTTCAATGTTGACATGTAAAAATAATATACACATGTTGTACTCCCCCAAGGCTCCCTCCACACGCCCGTTCAGAAGCTCAGAATCAGGTGATCCCTAGAGACTCCGTCTACTCTGACAGTTGCAGGCAGTATCGAAGGCAGCACACGTGTGCTCCTTGCTTACTATGTGCCGGGGCTCCACTTTGTTTCGTCCTCACAACCACTCTCTGAAGTAGGTACTATGAGTCCTACCAGAGCCCTACCAGAGCAAGGAGGCAACTGAGACTCCAAGAGCTTAGGTCACTTGCCTAAAGGCCTGTAGCTAGTACGTGGCCAAGTCTGGCTGAGAACCCAAGCATCTGTGGAAGTCTTCACCACGTTTTTTTTTAATCAATTATTCTAATTTCTCCAATGAATTTTAAACATCTTAGAAGAGAAATACAACCTTGTCCCAGACATTCCCCAACCATGGCTAAAACCAGAAAGTTTCACTTCATCAAATTTCACTAGCCTCCCATGCTCAGAGGATACACCTGAAACCACCCAGCAGCATAGTCCCAGCCTGGCTTTGTTGTCAACTGATATGGGACAGTGACAAACAGTACCTATGACTTCTGTCTCCAAGTTTTTATATCTGCACCATGATGAGGCTTTACACTGTGTGGCATTTTGCACCTGACAAAAAGCCCTTTAAAACATTCTATATCATTTACTCCTCACCACCAAGTAAGGTGGTGGTGGTGATTATTAGTATCCTCACATGGCAAATGGAGAAACTGAG